TAATCACTGAAGGTCTGGGAGGACGTGGGTCAGCTCTACCACTTTGTCAGATGATGATTTAATACTGTCATTAAAAGAAAGAAGTCCGCTGGGATTTCATGAAGGCAAAGAAAAGATCTCAATGATCAGTTTTTCTAAGGTTCACCACCTGGTCGTTCCTGCATGCGGAGTTACAAAGTAGTTTCACATGTGGAATATACATTGGCAATTATGCATATGAATTATATCATGGCATGAAATACTAGCCAAAATTCACACAGAAAGAAAAAGTTTTGTATCTCATGAAACCGAGCCCAGGGAAACATGGAGTTCGGGTAACTATAGAACCGTTATTTCCCGTTCTTAACAATGACTTGTACGAATCGTCCAACATCCCAAATTCGAAAAAAATCAAAATTTGTATACCTTTCTGTGCTATCCTGCCGAGAACGGAAGAAGTTGCTTATTTCTAGCAATTGAAGGACGTAAATCGAAGCGGTGAACCACATTGTATGAATTAGAAGCGATAAGTTCTGATATGAATGGGGATGGAACTTATGACTGATTACGTGAGTAGCAAAAGCTGTCAGCTGATGATCTGATAGGATAAACAATCAGGCGTAGCCAGCCGGTCTATGGTGCTTTCTCAGCATCGTTTTTAGTGAACCTTGTTGGGAAGACTGCATTCCCCTCTGCACGAGTGACCGCTTTCGGTTCCATATTACAATTTTTCTTTAACCGTCAGTTGAAGTACAACAAAGTGTCAAGAAGAAAACTGATATACAAAGTGGCAGAAAGGCATAAGTGACAATGACAAAACATAAATTTTCTATCGGAGTGATGATTTGGACGGAACCTCTGCGCTGCTGAGTGGATAAAGTAAGTGAAGAAGAGACTCCAGATAGTCTAAACAAGGCTTTTGTCTACTAAATTGCAAAGGCTATGCAAAGCCAAAAGTGTTGGCTCCGATATCAAACAGCAGAGGAGGCAATTCTTACAGAAAGTCATTCAGAAGTGTCAGGAGGTGATTGGGAACAGGATCGTTAAAAGTATGCCATGCATCATTTGACGGCCGATTGGAAGAGATCAGTAGAGCGGAAGAATTGCACCAAGGGATATCCACAGAGTGTGAGTGAGTGATGATCGACAGTTGCTGGTTCCGACACCTTTTTTACGTTACTTCTTTTCTCCTTGAAGGGCATATTACTTTATTCTACTGTATTGCAAAAGCAATTCTTAGTGACTTGAATCGAATACTTCTCAATAGGACCTTCAGTTATATTTGGGTCAGGGCTAGGCAGGAAGAGTGTGTGCTGCCACATTTACTCAATGAATTCATGCGAATCAAAATTGGTCCATATTGGAAGAAGACCGATTATAGATTAGATTTTATAGATTTTTCAGGGAATATAGATTTTCTTCCTTATGCATTTGGACGCATCTTGTTGAAATTATTTTTCTGTCCTGAAAGGTACCATCAGGGTGGGAGTGGTGCAGGGACAAGTGCGCACTATCATACAAGCATGGTCCCAGGTTTATATCCCGGATTGATATCCCCTAAGCCAACCAAGCCATCCATCCTCCCGAGGCTGGTTAATTGGTATCAGACTCGTCTGGGAGGATGAAAACATTGACTTGTTCATCGGCTGGCCACTGCGAGTCATTCTGATTCGAATGCGAATGCGTTAACGCATTCCTCAGACGGGATTGTTTAACGCCTCAGGACTTTATCCTCTAGACTTTTATTCCTTATAAGCGTATCAGGTCACGATAGGCAAGGATCGCCCTTCACTTGACAATTCTGTTTGAAAAACCCACAGGAAAGAGAAGACGGAAACCTCTTAAGGTTCAAGAAGAGAGAAGCTACTTGGTGTTGACATCAGCCATGAAAATGCCCAAGACGGACGTCCTAACTATTCGTGTGATGATGACCATCAAATCATGTTCCGAGCTATCTCGTCTCAAAGCTCACGGCAGTAAATCAATCTCTTGAGGAAATCCAAAACGCTTGCAGAGCTTCAACCTTTAGTACTCGGTAGTAGTATGATAGGTAAAGATCTGCAACACAGAGTGTGAAGACAAAAATTATATTCAAAATCGAGTCATGGAAAAGAAGCTTATTCCTTCATCGAAACAGCCTTACTTCTGCCCTTCGAGGGTTGAACGAAAGAATTATCAGGTTTCCTCTACAGCTCTCTTTAAGAATGGTCCACTTTGTTTCAAAAGAATAAGATGTTTAGCAATTTCCTCTACAAAATACCTCAAACTAAAGGAAAAAGATAATTGGCTACAGGAGTTTCCGAATCACAGGCAGTCTTGCCTCAGAGCAGGGCGGATCAAGGCGGAAACTATGTAATATTCGAAGATAAATGAAAGTTTCTCAGATTTATCTGACTGTAAAATTTGTTTGTTTCTTCAGTAGCAAAGGGCAATGTCAAAACAATGTCAAAACACATCTGTTGTAGTTCATGTTCCCAGCATTCATGGAAACAGCTGGCATCATTATTCATTTGCATCTTTTCAAAGGGCAGGTCGAGAACCATCGCAAAGATCTGGATGTGAAGTGGAACCTGCATTCTCCCTCCACGGCAACACTTTGTTTTCTTTAAAGAGACCAAAGAAGTTGTTCTGGCTGTAACGAGGTAAATTTATAGCTAAACTGTGTTGATGGCCCTCGACAAAAACCAAACAATTAGTTTTCTGAATATCTTCGATTTTCTTTAGAATGACTAGTGCATCTCAATAGGGCCATTTGTTTTAAACAATCCGGTTCTTTGAGATGTAGGTTCATTTGCCTTACATTCAGAGTCATAGTGGCTCTTTGAATGCCTATACGGGTCATACAGTAACTTGTGGTGATAGGCCGATGTACATATCAGCGCTTCTACTCGCTTTAACCCTCCCAGGCATTTCTGGAACCAATAATCAATCTGGAAAATTAATCTACATACCTTAGCCTATGTGGGTATCTACGTGTCGATATTCGATTCACGAAGCTGGTTTAGCTACTTATCGCTACACCACCTCCACTCAAGTTTATATTAATTTGAAGGGAAGATAAAAGATGGTTCAGTTGTTGTGCCGCTTTCCGAATTTCTGACCATTTGGACGAATCTTGGTGAAAAGAGCTGCACAACGGTCATCATATGAAAGTGGACGTGCTGCCGCCACCTGGCGCAATACCTTCCGAAGACGATGAAGGACAGTCATTCTTATAGGCTGGGACCTTTTACAAGTAGCAATAATGTGCCAGTGCTATGGGTGCACCTTCAAAAGGTCCCTGAACAACTTTTAATGCAAACCGCAAACATCGCATTTCCGGATTTTCTAATTACAGTGAATGACCACAATACCAGATTCCCACTGATATGATAGAGGACTACAACACTTGCCAAAATTTGGAGATGTTTTACGTCCTCATTTAAAGTACTTTGAAGTGCTATTGCTAACTTGGTCTAAGTCAGAGCGTTGATAAGAACAACGAAGGGTCTAGTCCTTTGTAAGCCATAAAATGAAGAGCGCGTCTCGGTTATAAGCACTAAAGCAGACAAATTGCTGCGTTGCGATAGTAGTGACCGCTTCTTTAGCACATTCGATCGACATCTTGCATTGTCAAGATAAAAGAAGATTCCACGGTAAAAGGATTGATGATATGGAAAATGGACTGATGAACAAAGGCAAAATCTGGGAAGGAATGCGCATCGTGCATGATCAACAAAAAGAGAGCATTCTCTCTGTATAAGAAAAATATAATCAATTATGTAGCATAGACCAGTCCGATTCAGTGAAACAAAAATGAAATTCTGTTGAAATGAAATTCTTCAACGAGGAATCCTTGAGCCATTACAGAATAGAGCTACGCTAACCTTCACTGCCCCACACCTATGGTCGAGGCATCAAAACCTGGAGCATTATACTCAAAACTTTCGATCTCTCCAGGGTCTGAAAATAGTTGCCTCATCACTTTTACAGATTCAGAGTCGCCTTACTATCCATCAGATCTCCCAACAAAGAGATTTCAATTTTGTCTTTCGCAACATACTGATGATGAGAAATCTCATTGTCAGTTTGTTCGTCCGGAGGCCTCGACAATGACTGTTCTCTTTGAATTTCATGATTTACGGGACCTTCAAGGTTCCGTTCTGATGTGATGAAGAGTTCAAGATACCCTTTTGTACTTGGATTCTAGCAGTTATTAAAAGGTTGACAGCTCCAACAACTCCTTCGGTAGCATCGGTCCTACTGATGCGGCCCTGGCCCAGACTGAAAGCTGCTGGGATCACTAAATGTCAGTGAAAAGCAGGAAAGACCGAGGGGCTCCTCCAGAATGATACTGTATTGTCCATAGAGGTGATTTACCGAACCAGCTACGCCTACAGCACTACTATCAGTTTCAATCAACAGGTTTTCAACACGATTAATCCTTCCCGAAACATCTATTCCAGAACTTCTGCTAACTGCTCCAATCACGTTGGAAGTGAGGTCAGGCGAAAGTCTTGTTCATAGAGACCCAGATAGGTCATTCGAGTACCTTCATTCTGTCAGGCAAGGAAGGAGGGCGAACGACTGAACTGTTTTTTGTTTAGGAAAGTATGTGTCAGCCATGCAATCAGGTTCTACAATTTGTGTCCCCTATGGGAAGCGATTTCGCTATTGTTCGGTAATACTGCAAAGGGAAACACGCTGAACCTGCTCCACATCCTTTTTATTTCCTTCTCATTTTGATAAATGGGAATACGATTTCATGGGGACAGTTCTTGCAAATGCAATCATATCTTGCAATTTGTCACCAACAAGACACGGTATGATTTCATTTGATAAAGACAGTCCTTTTAAAAGGCAATAAATTAAACTTTAAACCGTTTCTGTTCAGTGAATGGTCACGACTTATGTGATATGATGGAATCGGTATGACGTTTGGGAATATACAGTAGGTATTGAAGGTTTATTGAAGTTTGATACAAGTTTGATAGAAATTTCCAGAACAGGAATTCCATCTTCATGATTTACGGTTAGCTTCATCACCAGATGCCAAATCCACTGTTCCATCCGATCGATCCTATAGGTGTGTTGATGTCGAATCCGCCACCAAGTCCAAACGGTGCATAACCCCATGATCCATAACCGAACCTGTAATGTCACAAAAATCCTTATAAACCAATACCTGGTAATGAAGATTTAGCAATGATCGGGATTAAAAAGGAAACCTTATAGATCTTGGAGGACTGTTGCAGAATTGTGATGGCAGTAGGAACGATGTGGGAGACAGGCCCTACCCCTACATCCAATCCAGATAACTCCCCCAACCAAAACTCAAGACCATCAATTTCCAGTGAAAACCTTCATCCGTCCGAAAAGTCTGTGTGGACCTTGATATCAATAGACCCATTTGACCGCCGAATTTGC